TAAGCTCCTGAACATAAAACTGAATAACTAAATGTAGAATAATTTTTGCAGGAGTAAAAGGCACATTAGAAATTAGCATACAAATATGGCAAACATTGGTAATTATGAGATGAATGAATTGTACACTAATGTAGATTAGAGCAACAATGATATAGATGCACAATGCATTTATGATTATAATAAATAGTCTCATTTTTTTCTCAGAATGTTTATGGCATTTTACAAAGCATCTGAATATATTATTATAAAGCCTGTATTAATTTTGTTCTGCAAGGGTCTTTTTATGTATTTATCTAACTGGCATGAAATCATATATGCACATAAATCCTGTATTTTATGCATTTCTGGCTAAAACCTGTGCGAACCCAAAGTGTCCTTTCGTAGGTGAGTGGATAACTACTGTCACGGTGGTAGGGAAGCTTGAGGCAGGACAGATGAGGACACGGAAGCCCTTGAAGTGCAGAAATTGGACACAGGGAAACAAGAAAAAAGCCATGGCGTAGAGTCAGGGGTTTCCAGAGAAGAGATGTTGGCCACAGGTAAACAGCACAGAAGCAGCTAAGGGAATCCATGGCTTTAGGCAAAGGGCATTGTGGTGACCAAATGCTGCACCAAGCTTAAAACTCAGATTAGCAAAGCCAACCTAGATTGTGGACAAAGTCACTGTAGAGAGAAGAGATGGTGACCCGGGATTAGCATGGGATGCAGGCAGAGAGGAAGGAGTTACTTAAGGAAAAATGTGCTGTAAATTAAATGAATGGAGACTCATCTGCAGCTTTGAAGAGTGGATATGGATGGTTCACGGAAGATTTTTTTTTAACATAATTGTAAGGATAAACGTGGGTCACATGAGATGGTCAAGCATCAGAGGTGATGCTTGGATTGCCAGCACAAGTAACATTTGAGAGAATCAAGACCTGGCCCGGCTACAGGCCAGGGGGCTGGACACACTGGAGGCAGGTGGGGCATGAAGGTAACAGGATTTTCTGAAGGCAGAGAATGCTGCCAGTGCTTAGCAAAAACATAGTCTCGGTGGATACTTTAGAAGGCTGAAATGCAGTCGATTTTGCCTTACTCTTAGGAACTAAAGTGAATTATAAAATAGAATCAGCAATAAAATATGCAGGTAAAATAATGGCAGGTGGGCCCGGTGTGATAGACTAGTGCCTAAAGTCCTCACATTGCATGATCCCATGTGATGTCCCTATTGCTCTAGATCCCAGGCAGCTCCCCGCTTGTGGCCTGGGAGGGCAGTAGAGGACGGCCAAAGCCTTGGGGCTCTGCACTCATGTGGGAGCTAGCGCAGCTTCTTGGATCCTGGCTTTGGATCGGCTCAGTTCTGGCTGTTGTGACCACTTGAGGAGCGAATCTATGGACAGATGTTTTTCCTTGTATCTCCTCTCTCTGTAGATCTGCCTTAACAATTAAATTGATTTAAAAAAAGATGCATAGCAATGAAATAACCTAGAACTATACAAAAGAAGAAAACAAGGAAAAAAATTTGAACAATATTAACAATTAATAGAATCCAGTAAGATTCATTAAAGAAAAAAAGTTATGTAATAGATTAAAAAATTTAAGTAATATTTTACAAAGCTTATAAATTTTGAGATATTAATGGAAATCTCCAAGAAATTTAGGAATAAAATGGAAATGGGTAAAAGATAGAACAAAAGCACACAATTATGGAAATCAACTTGTCAAAACACAAATACATAGAACTTATGAAACCTAATGTAAAATATTAGTAAGTTGAACTAATATTTTAAAAATCAAAACAGCCAATGGACAAATAAATTCCACACACAAAAAAGTTCGGGTCCAAACATGCATCCCAAATTTTAAAGGAAAAAAAAAACCTAAAAAACAGGTTCCCAACTCAAGAGTGTCAATAAACAATATGTTTGAATTTCTTTTTTACAAAAGATTTATTTTTATTGGAAAGGCAGATCAAGTTTATAGAGAGAAGGACATACAGAAAGATCTTCCATCCACTGGTTCACTCCTCAGATGGCTCCATTGGCCAGAGCTGAATCAGGAGCCATGAGCCTGGGGCCCACGGATTTGGGCCATCTGCTGCTGCTTTTCTCAGGCCATCAGCAGGGACCTGAAAAGGAAGTGAAGCATCTGGGACAGGAACCCATGCCCACATGGGATCCCGGTGAATTCACCATCAGGATTTATCCCATTGAGCCTTCGTGCTGGGCACTTGAATTTCTTTTCTTAGTCCAACATTATATTGATGATACCAGACCATGGTATGAAATAAACAGAAATGCAAGGAACCACTCTTTTTATTAGTGAGAAATGAAATATTTTAAGCAAAATATTGGTAATCCAGTATAAAAACACTGTAGATACAATGAGTACAGGACAAGACTCAAAGATAGTTAACATTCAAGAAAAATTATATGCATCATTCATGTGGATTTCAGTACAAGAAAATAAATTGTTTAGATTACATGTTTTAGAACATTTAATAAAAATGAGATATCTAGTCATAAATGATAAACTTAGTAGAATACAAAAAAAAGCAATTACTCTATTAGGACTCTGCAACAAATGGTATAATTAACAGAGAGCATTGAAAGTTTGTTTTCTTGGGAACAGGCTTGCTGTTACCACCTATCTTCAACATTGTTCTGGAATTATATCCACAGAAATTGAATAACAGACAGTAAATATTGGTACAAGAATAAACTTTTATGCAGCAAAATTCAATGAATGTGAAGGAATTTTGCACACTCAGTGATAATCTAACATAATCCAAAATCAAAAACTGTTGAGAGAATTAAGCAAGATGTCCAAATACAAGAGCAAATAATATAATCAAGTGGGTTAGTCTATCAGCAAAAACAAAGTTTTAAAGAATAAAATGCAGACTAGTAAATTCATACCTATAATAAATATTAAGCTATGTGGTATCTTCAAATCTAGGAAGTCAAGTGACATAAACAGAAAAGTAACTGAGCAATATGCAGATAAGACTCAAAATCCATGAGCATTGGATAAATTTAAGGAAACCTTGTAGGATCCTAGCTGAAGCAAACATCCTGGGAAGAGGACATCAAGGAGGCAACAGCACCCCCTGCTGTCAGAAATGCCAAAACCCCCAAAAGGAGGCAGTTTCAGACCTGAGCCTACATTTTTGACCCTTTTCCCCCCCAACGTGTCCAAACCCCCTGTTACCATGCCCACGCTAGTGTTGATTCTTGTTTGCATATTCTCTGGTGTCATATGCTTATGGCCTGTGCAAAGTGTCCGACCATGAGCTGACAAGCACCAACCATTCAGAAGAAGCGTGTGGGATCTTTGCTTTTACCAGGCCTCTCTTCTGAGGGAGCCTTCTGGTTCAGCAGGAGTTTTCTTCAACACGGGAGTCATCAGAGGGATGCAGAAATTTGTGGAAGCTGGAAAGTGTTGAGTGTGTGGTGCCAGTCATCATCAGCACCCTGCAGGATGAGGGCTGGGTCAAGAGTGGGGATTTTTCTATGTAGTGATTTTGATTCAGCCCTGGGACCTCAGATCTCACCGAATCTGTGGGAGAGGATAAAGAGGGCTCAGGGAGAATCATCCATATGACTTTGGTGAGCAAAGAAGCTCTGACCTGTGGGCCGTCAGTGACTCAGTGGCTCCGGGTTCCCCTCAGTTGTGAAACTTGTACTAATGCCCACGTCCCAGACCTCAGCATCGATCCTCTGTTTCTCATAACAATATCATAAACTGAGTGAATAATAATAATAATATAATAATAATAAAGACGTTACGGCCAAGGACTTGGATGAGGGACAGTATTAGTGATGGCCTTACTGTTTGCTAAAGTTGGGGTAACACAGGGACGACTCAGAATGATTCTGGAATCGTTTCCTCTGAGTTTGTGGCACAGTTTGAAGGATTGGTGTTGATTGTTTTTGGAAAGTTTGATGGGATTTAGTCATTTAGACATCGGCTATTGACCTTTTGTTTGGAAACTTTTTATTCCTTCTTGGAGTGGGAAAATCATACTACTAATAGTTGCCTATTCTTAAATCATTTCTCTGTTTCTTCGAAATACGTTCATATAATTATTAGGGATCATGATTTTGCACACTGCCTCAGTGATAGAAGCTCTAGTAATTAAACTGCAATGAATAAAGGAACAAACGGTGGGAATTTGTAGAGGTGAATCATCCATGTGTTAAATGTGGAGGGAGAGGTGCCAGAGAACAGGCCTGCCAAAGACTCACAGGGATTGCACTCTGAGATTAGTCTATTTAAAGACTGATTTGAAAGACCAGGCAACAGAGAGTTTATGTGTCTGCTGGTGCATTTCTAAAACAGCTGCAAGAACTAGAAACCGGTTAACTCCACTTGGGTTTCCAGGCGATGGAAGCTTTATGTTCGTATACAAATACCTTAAGACCTGTCTCTAGTACGTATATCATTGCAATATATACATTAGAAAATGATTTTCTGTCATGAAATGTGATCCATGAATATATTACTAATTATTTTGAGCAAACAGTTATTTAAAGGGTCAGGGAGGGGTCCGGCATGGTGGCCTAGCGACTTAAGTCCTCACCTTGAAAGCACCGGGATCCCATACAGGCGCTGGTTCTAATCTCGGCAGCTCCACTTCCCATCCAGCTCCCTGCCTGTGGCCTGGGAAAGCAGTCGAGGACGGCCCAAAGCCTTGGGATCCTGTACCCATGTGGGAGAGCCGGAAGAGGTTCCTGGATCCCGGCTTCACATGGGCATAGCACCGGCCATTGTGCTCACTTGGGGAGTGAATCATCGGACGGAAGATCTTCCTCTCTGTCTCTCCTCCTCTCTGTATATCTGACTTTCCAATAAATAAATAAATCTTTTAAAAAAAAAGGGTCGGGAGGGATGAATCTCTATAGTGTATCATGGAAAAGAGTAAATTTTTTATAAAGGTTTGGACCTGAGTTGCCATAAGTATATTGCTTTCAAGCTTTAGTGTTTTAAAGAAAAATAGTAATTGCTTTTTTCCTTTAAATAAGCATGTATATAGCCACAATGTAATGATCCGAACTGAAATTGAAAATAAAATTACTTAAAATTTTTGTAAAATTCTCTGTCCACATTTCAGGTTCTCCATTAAGTGTGGATTTGTCAAGCTAAGATTTAATCATCAGAATTCCACACAGTTAGCACATGGGTATAGAGCAATTCTAATGTATCACACTTGGTTTCCGGGTAATGCGGCTAGAACACACAGTCCCCATGTCATTCTGATTTCCTGGTTGAGGGGTATAACATCTTGTGGGAATGGTGTGTCTTCCTCCCCTGATATCGTCAACACAGAATCAGGCTTTTTCCCATTGTTTCTGAGCACGGACCTTTCTGCCTGTGCCTCCCCTCTTTTCCCCCAAAATTGCCAAGTGGTGCTATCCAATGGACTTTAAATAGATTCTGTAATCTTGAAGCTTGGATCCAGAGGTAAAGAAGCATATTACAGATTTGGGGAGCGCTGCATTTTGCTAGGACTTCTCTGCCCCTTCCCACGTATAAAGTTCTGTTCCTGCACAGGTGACGGTCTTCAGTTGTCCAGCTAATCCGTTATTTGGTATTTGTTTCCACTGTATTCTTGCTTAGCACAGAAGAATGTAGGTGCAAACTAGATTATTTTCTCACTATTCCTTCTGTTCATCTTTTCTTCCAGACTGAATTCTAGAGAACCTTACAGCTTTGCAAGAAAAAAGAAAATGAGTACATCTCTCGTAAGTTGCTTATTTATTTCTCACTTTGTTTGATATTGTTTTTAGGGGCTTTGTGAGAGTTAGTGAATTAAAATGAAAAAGTGTAATTCAGCATCAAAGGATGTATATATAGACAAAGTAAAATTGTGACAATTGCTACATATGAGAGCTACCCGAGGTTGCTGAAAATTAGTCTCTGGTCTTTCTTGTGCTATAACAAGAAAGACATTTGTGTTTGATAGTTCAAACTGAATCTAAGGAGATACTGTGCTGAATTCCTGTGGGTTATGAAGTTCAAAACAGTTTGTCATTGGTCATGTGGATGATGTAATAGACAATGGCTAACGCCAATTTGTAAGTAAACATAACATTCAGCAGTGATGGAATTTAGCTAGTGCTAAAGTACAGAGTTAGTTACTACGAATTTTATTTGGAGTTGCTGAAATAGTGTGGTCCTCAGTATCTTTGGGGGCCTATGCTGTGTTCATGGATTGGACAAGAAGTGTATGGAATTTTCTTCAGGTTTTTAACAGCCTTACATTTCTCCAGCTCAATGTACATGCACCGAATATGCTATAGACTTAGTAATTTACAGACTCAAATAATTCCATTCGTCATTTGAACCTTAACCTACTTAACATCTTAATTCACTTCCTTAAGGATTTAGCAATAACATCTATAGTCAAAAACAAGTTTTGTTTTCTAATATTTACCTTACCAGAATCTTTTGCCATAAAATATGTGTTTATGTGAAAGAGAGAAACATAGTGAGAGACACATACTTAGATTTGGAGATAAAGAGAAAGCTCTTATCCGCCGACTCACTCCCCACATAACCACAGCATCCAGGACTGGATCACAGCTGAAGAATGAGCATGCAGTCCCGATCTTCCACATGGCTGACAGAAGCCTGGTTGCTTGAGTCATCGCTGTTGCCTCCTGGGGTCTGCGTTAGTAAGACGATGGACAGCCGGAGTTAAGAATCCAGCCCTGGCACCTTGAAGTTGGATTAAGGAGTCATGAGTGATGTCAAAGTCACAAAAATAAATGGCTCCCTGCACTTTTTAGTTTCTCTTACATGTTTGAAACTAGTATATTTGAGCTTCTGAAAATTGGTTCTATCCTGACCTCACTGATGCTTTCTGGTCCGTAATATCAGCCATTCAAGTATTCCATGTGCTCTCTCACTCATCCTTCCCTTCTGTTATCCTTGCAGACCTCACCACCGGTGGGCTGACACTCTGATTTTGTTCTAGTTACAGTCTCCTCCACAGTCTGCAGACCACCCTTCTACTCCCTGTTGAATATATTTGGTAGCTGTTCAAATCTCATCTAAAGCTTATGAATTTTTGAAAAATTTATTTTTATTGAAAACTCAGATGTACAGAGAGGAGGAGAGACAGACAGGAAGATCTTTTGTCCAGTGATTCACTCCCCAAGTGATCACAATGGCCGGTGCTGTGCTGATCCGAAGCCAGGAGCCAGGAACTTCCTCCAGGTCTCCCACATGGGTGCAGGATCCCAAGGCTTTGGACCGTCCTCAACTGCTTTCCCAGGCCACAAGCAGGGAGCTGGATGGGAAGTGGAGGTGCTGGCACCCATATGGGATCCCAGTGCTTTCAAGGTGAGGACCTCAGCCACTAGGCCACCATGCTGGGCCTAAACTTAAGAATTTTAAAATGAGGGTCAGAGCAGTGGCTCAATAGGCTTCTCTTTGTTCCTGTGGCATGCACACCCATGTGATCACTGGTTCCTGTCCTAGCTTCTCTACTTCCAATCTTGCTGTCTGCTTATGGCCTGGGAAAGCAGGGCCAACCAAGTTGGAGACCCAGAGGAGGCTCCTGGCTCCCAGCTATAGAACAGCTTGGGTGTGACCATTGTGGCCAATTGGGAAGTGAATCAATAGGTGGAAAACCTTATCTTTCTCTCTATCACTCTGATTCTTGCTCAGTAAAATCCGCATTTCAAATGAAAATAAATATTCAAATGAAAATAAATATTCATCCTTCCCTTAATTTTGTAAAGTATATATATATAGCCTGACCCGCGTCATGAAAATGGGAATTTTTCTGGACTCTTCCTCACCTCTCCAGTATAACTTTATCTAGCATTAAAGTTTTGTGATTTTGTTGCTCTTGAATCTTTAAACAGACTAATCCTCTGCCTGGGATGCCAGCATCCCACATGGCAGCCGTTCATATCCCGGCTGCTCCAATTCTGATCCAGCTCCCTACTAATGACCTGAGAAGCAGCAGAGGATGACCCAGGTACTTGAGCCCCTGCACTCACATTGGAGAACTGGAAGAAGCTCCTGACTCCCAGCTTTGGAATGGCCCAACTCTCCATTGGTGGCCACTTGGGGAGTGAACTTGCCGACAGAACTCTCCTTCAGTCTCTGCCCCTCTCTCTTATAGTTCTTACAAGGAAAGAATAAAGAAATCGTTAAAAAAAACCTGAAAGCATTTTCTTATGAGGAATGTCACTCTTGACAAAAATTGTGAAGGGTGTATTATCTCAATGATAAGCTTTGATCTCTACTAAGGTGTGGTTGTAGGTTTAGGAGTCATCAGAGGAAAGCATGTGGAAATTAAGAGTGGAGGGAAGCACACATGGACCAGTGTAAAGGGAAAGATACATAGAAAAGAGGAAAATACGTCATCATTTCTACCTGTGTTGAATATTTGACGTGGTGGCTAAGGTGCCTTTTTGGGATGGACTTTCTCACAAAAACTTAAGTTACCATTTGGGACAGCCATATCCTATGTTAGACCTCCAGATTTAAATCCCGGATGTTTGGTTTCTCAGGCATTTCTCTGTTAATGTGAATACTGAGAGTCTGTGGGTAATGGCTTAAGTACTGAAGTCTCTGCCATCCATGTGGGAACCTCATATTCTACACTACCTGCTATGGACTGGACCTCCTCTGGCTGAAGTTGCATTTTTGGAGTAGACCAAAATTTGTTCATTTGTGCTCTCTCTCTTTTCCCCTAAATCGAAGGAAAATAAATGAATAGTAATGATTAAAAATACTCATTCTACATCACCTACATCTCATATTGGTTTTTATGGAATTGAGTCTTAACTGTGCTCCTAATTATATCCTCCTGTTGATGCAGACACCAGGAAGCAGCAGATAAGGATGGAAACCTTTTTGTTTGTTAGATGTGAGGCTTTCAGAAGCGGCGAGGCATGGGGTCATTAGGATGGCTGCTCAGGGCTCATCAAATACTCCTGACTGTAAAAGACAAGACTGACCAGGAGTGCTCGGAGGCTCTTTGTTTCTTGCCATGTGCTTCCCTGTGCTGCCGAGGGTCTGTCATCAGGTATAGACCAAGAGCACTGTGCAATATTTATTCCATCATTTTACATTCATACCAGCCATGTGTTAGAGTTGGGTAAGTTATTTAAAAGGAGATGACAGATATGTATGGGATATGTTCAGGGGTGGAGTAGGTCGGGGCAGGGGGAGGTTGGAGAAGGGGAAATGTCTTCCGTTCTGTGTGCATGGGAAGAGAGATATCGCCCCTACACATTGCCAGTCTTTATGTGGTCTTGGGAAGGGGGAAGTTCTCATGATACGATCCCAGGTCTCTGGGGAGGGGAAGGATGTCATGTGGGAGGGATCATTTGATTGATAATTTGGCTCATAGGATTTACAAGGAGTGGGGGAAGTGTGGCTTCCAACTTGTGACCTGTGTGTCTTATTCATTTACCCCTCAGAGATTTCTGACTTTTTTTTTTTAAGATTTATTCATTTTTATTACAAAGATATACAGAGAGGAGGAGAGACAGAGAGGAAGATCTTCCATCCGATGATTCACTCCCCAAGTGAGCCGCAATGGCCGGTACTGCCCCGATCCGAACCCAGGAGCCAGGAACCTCTTCCGGGTTTCCCACACGGGTGCAGGGTCCCAAAGCTTTGGGCCGTCCTTGACTGCTTTCCCAGGCCACAAGCAGGGAGCTGGATGGCAAGTGGAGCTGCCAGGATTAGAACCAGTGCCCATATGGGATCCCGGGGCGTTCTAGGAGAGGACTTAAGTTGCTAGGCCACGCTGCCGGGCCCAAGATTTCTGATTCTTAATTTAAGGGTTGCTGAGGGGTTCAAATTCATCATATCCTCTGTAATTACTCCCCACAGATTAAGGATTTAGAGCTTGCCTATCTCAGGTTTGGCGATCTTAGTCTCATCCAGTGGATCCTTCTCAGGGGGATTTCTGTTCAGTGCTAATGGCGAAGTCCTCTGCATCTTCATCATTACTGAGAGTTGTTGCCTTCTTTGCAAAGGAGTCAGCAATGTAGGTAGTCAAATGATGTAGTTTATGAACAGAGGCTAGACCATACACCTGTGAGTTCTGGTGTCTGATTCAGAGATTCCAAGCTTTCTTACCATCCTGAGATGAAAGGATTTGCTGCTTGCCAAAGTGAAAAGGTCTTGCTGGGCCGCCTCTAAAATATGTGCTGTGGCCTGGCCCCGGGATCCCCAGCATGCAGACTCTTTGAGCGCTTTGCCTGGCTCACTCTTGGTGGGCGAGGAAGCCTGGCCCTGGAGGTTCTCCAAGCACCCCTGCTTGGCCCACCCCCAGCCGTGACTCTCCTATATGCAGGTGGGTGGAGCAGCCTGGCCCACAGAGGCCTTTGACCACAGCTCTGCCCACATCAAAAGCCCTCATTGGCCTCCCAACCCAGCCCAAGTACCCTTGATTATGGGCAGTGATGGTACTCTAACCCGCTCCCCCACAGATTCAATGTTAACAAAGGGAGAGCTATGCTGGCACACTGAGTTAGCATGCACCGGGCCCATTATTCCAGCCAGCTGATTTCTCCCAGCAGTGATACTTACCTAGGTATAAGGCAAAGTTGTTGCTCACGCTGTGGTTATTGTCTTTTGTAGTATACATGGCAGTGGTTGTAATGTGATATCACATTGTGATTGTCATTTGCATTTGCCCAAATATAAGTAATGCTGAATATTTTTTCATGTGCTAATTAGCCATTTGTACGTCTTTTTCACAGAATACTTT